TGGTTGAAACATCAGCTAGGCAGGTTACCACAAAGTAGAACAATCTCAGTTACACCTCAGATGCTATATAGTAACATTCTTACCTTTGGGTTGGTGGAAACTAAAGGTCTATTTGTACACTGAAAAAGTATTTACCTAATAGTCACAAAGATAGATGATAGGCCCAACACAGAGGTGGGCAATGAATGGCTATGAAAGTTAGTCCAAAGTAGCTTGTCTCAAGACCTACCACATTCTAGCTCTCTACAAGCAAAGAAATTCTTATCAGTTAATTAGACTTGAAGAATCTTTTACACTGGTGTGGCTTTTTTCTTGGAATTTAATTTCACAACACTATATAGCTAATCATTTTGTATATATATACATATGTATATATATACATATACATATATGTGTCAAAATATTAGATGACAGTTTAGAAATGCAAATGAGGTAACTCTCAGTGGAATAGTCTTGAACCAATTAGAGAAAATCAAGCACATAAAACTTTCCTTCCCGGAGGTAGAGAGATGGCTCAGCAGTTAAGAATACTGGTTGTTCTTGCAGAAGACCCAGGTTTGAATCCCAGAAACCACATGGCAGCTAACTGTCCTAACTCCAGTCCCAGGGGATCCAACAGCCTCTTCTGATCTCCACGGGTATTGTACGGCACGAGTGCACTTACCTACATGCAGGCAATACACGCAAACACATAAAATAAAAATAATAAATAAAATTTTAAAGAAAAAGAAAACCTTCCTTCTTGTCTCTTTGGAGTGCTCTTGTGGTCTGGGCTCCTTGAATATACTGTCTGGGAATGTTTCATAAGGCCAAGTAGACCCAACTATTGAGAGACCTGAGCTACATTTTTATGGAGTTTGTGAATAGTCAACTAGTAACATATACCTTGTCTTGTTTCTTAACTTTCATTATACAAAATATGCATTAAATTAAAAACCGGTGTCTCAAGAATTATACTCACCACTTTGGTCTCAGGTATATGCAGCAATGTGCCATTGAGCTGGAAACACTGACTACATTAAGCACACCCAGTAGACCAGGAGAAGAAGTTGCTACATGGTGAGGGCAACAGAAAAGACTGTAGAACTCTGGAAATTTACTGAAAAGTTTCTTGTTACTGAGTAAGGGATACAATTTTATATACATTACAGTTCATATACATTACTATAAAAATGTTTTTCTATTTTTGATCCTCTCCATGAATCATAGAAGTGATTGATTCCAGATTCTGTGAGGGTGGTCAAGAGTTGTACACTTCATACAACAGTTCTTAATCAAATTTAGACCCCTCCCTGTCCATTGTGTACATACACACACTCACCCGAACCTCATGAATTCCACCATACATGTTAAATCCTACTCAGTTAAGCAAATGTACCCAGATGTCCTTCGGTGCAAATTCATCCAGTGGAGTCTGGTTGGCCTATCTAGTGATCGTAGGTAAGGTCTACTCTCTTTTGCCCAGTAGTAATCAGTCTCCAAGAGTTCCCAGGCTAGGGCTGGCCCACCACCTATTTCCCTTGCTCCACTCTGGGCCCTTGTCTGTTTGAGTTGGCATGGGTCTTGTGTTTGATGCCACCATTGCTACAAGTTCACATGTGCAAGCTGAAAGTATCTGGCTCCCCATGTTCATGGACAAACTCGGGCTCTTAGGATGATTGCCCCCTTTTCTGCAATGGTCCCTGATCCATGGATGAGGTTTAATTTAGGAGTCCTATCCAGGGACACATACTCTACAGCCTCTTATTCTCTAAAACTTGACCAGTTGTGGCCTTCTGTGCATATCACACTCTATTGCATAAGGAAACTTCACTGGTGAGAGTTGAGGGATGCACTAGTTTTTTCTCTACCCCCGATTCCACTATGTCCCATGAGCCTTAGTTATAGAGGTTCCATTGTAGATGTGTCACCTTTGCCTGGGCAACTCTCAGACATATATTCTCTGTGTTTGACCAGTTGTGGAACTCTGAAGTAGCCTCCGTCTGCAAAAAAGAAGCTTCTTTGATGAGTGATATATGATATATTTACTTGTCTTCAAATATAAGGATCCATATTTAGCATATGGTAAGAAATGTCATTTTTCTAAAGATATGACAGAGATAGGGTTTTTCTAGGATCTAGAACCTCTCCAGCTCTGTGTATTTGGCTGAGTTTACAGTGCCAACCATGAGTTCACTCCCATTGAGCAGACTTTAAGTTCAATTGACTAACTGTTAACTGCCCTCCAGCTAATAGAGCCACTAGTGCACCATAGTAATAGTTCTCTGTGCTAGTCATTATGGTTATTAGGCTTTAGGGCTGGCTTGGATCATTGATTTTCTCCCTTAGCAGCTTGCATAGTAACCTCTAGAACTATGAGAGCTAAATATCAGGTAGAAGACTTCCAGGTCAGTCCTGCTCCATTGCTCCAAGTCTTGTGTCTGAAGTATGTCCTGTCTTCAGCAGTAGGGTCTTGTCTTCAAGTTCTGAAATAAAATCAAGAACTCTGGCAATTGCTATGCTATTTGGGGTTCTCTTGGACCACTCTGATCAACTATTGGAAGGGAGATCGCTCCTGTCTGGCACTGTGTTACTTGCCATGTAGACCATAGAAACACACATACACTAATGGTCAGTCACTGTACGTGCATTTCCCAGGGGCTTCTGGAGCCAACGCATTTTCCTCTGGCTTCCCTAGTCTCCCAGGACTCATTCATCGCTACTCTTTCTCCCCGCATCCAACGTCCTTCCCCAAGCACTTCCATTATCCCCACCCTCCCCCCAATAACACCCACTTTCCATCATCCTTCCCTCCTGAGTTTCTTCTTACTTCACCACCATGGACCCCAAATGCCCCTCTCTCCTCCCCTTCCTGCCAAACACTCCCACATTCCCCACCTTCCGCCCTGGAAATATCTGTTCCCTACTTTGCCCCTCATTTGGGTTCTTTCTTTCCCTTTACCTCACTGAAAGTTTACTTAATTCATGTGAAATAAAATCCATTGGCAATGACAGTAACCAAGAGTTAGGCAATCAGAGCCAAATTTCCATTAAAAATGAAGATCTGTTTTACCTAACACAAGGAAACTGGCTGGACTAGCTAAATAAATTTCTGACCTCTACACCAGCTTAAGCAACAGGCTGGATCGTTTCTCTAACCCTCATGCCTAAGTCTTTTAGGTGGCCATGAATGACCAGCCATCTGAAATGGTGCAGTAATCTGCAGCTTCTGTCTTTGGGGAAGAATAAGGATACTCTGTTCTAAAAAATAAAAGTACAGTAGCCCAATATTTTATAATGGTGCCAGAAATAAGAGGATAGTAGTAGGTTGGAAATCCCAAGGACTGACAGATATAATATCCTACATCAGCTTCAGATTCTCTAGGTTTCGTCCATGTCAGAAAACCCTGGGAAATTTGTTTTGTTTTGGTCACTGTATTAGACACATCTGTCAGCATGGTTCTAGCATGAGACCGAACACACAATTTGTCCACAAAGCTAAACTCTCTTGCAGAGACACTACACAGCCATCCAGATACTTAAGCACCTAAGTCACTTCTGCACTCAGTTGAAAGACCATACCACAGAAATAAGGGATAATTTCCCAAGAAGCTATTCCACATGCCAAAAGATGTAACTAGAAAGTGCATGGGAATAACAGCTTAGGAGTAAAGTTTTACCAGTGTGCCAAAGGTGATTGGAAAGAGCCAAACATCCATTCTCTTTTTTTTCCTTAAATCCTGCTCTAGAGAAATATTTCACTTTATAGTCTGTCCACACCATTGTACAAGGCTTGATGAACATGTTCATCAAGGGATCTGCTGATACACTATGAATAGATTAATTTGCTAGGAACAATTGGCCAGAATAATACCATGTAACTCTAGTTCCCACCATTCCCTGTATATTTGATCGCACTTTTGATGCCCTGGGTTTACATCCACCAGACAAACCATGAACATTTCATCCTGGCTGTTTCATTAGTAGTCATGAATAAAACAGGTAAACAAGAAAGAGAAAACATAACAAAATTATCACTATGATGTTAAATCATTCCTCATGTCCCATTATGAGCCGAATATGTGTGTGTGTGCGCGTGTGTGTGTGCACACGTGTGTGTGTGTGTGTGTGTGTGTTCCATGGAGAGCTGAGTCATTGTTATTGATGTCTATGTTTCCAGCTTGTAGTATATATCTAGATATCAAGGAAGATATAGTCACAGCACCTATTAAAGGAATGAAGTAAAATTTTCCATCTTCATCGAGCTACTCTTCTCAAGACTAAGCAAGGTGAGAACTTGCCATATGTCACATCTCTTTCTTTGTTTACAAGTGCTCCAAATATTAACATGAGGTCATTGTTTTACTTCATGACATAGGTGAGAAGACTCAAACCAACAGAGGTGGAATGCCGTACTCACCCTGAGTTAGAAAACAATATTGTATAAATAATCTCTGTCAACTTTTTAAAAGGTAAAAAATAGCAGTGAATACCTTAAAGTTCTTGAAGAACTATTTCCAGGATGAAGAACGAATTGTTTCACTGGCTTTCTATTCTGAAAGTTGATGAGGAATTAAAATTCAAAGTACTGAAAGGTCTGCTCACCTTCTATAAACTGTGTAGCACACAAAAGATTGGCTTCTGAACTGCCTGACAATTTAAACTACACACTGCTATGGATCTTGGGCAAAAGTGGGGAAGAGATGTCAGACATCCTCATTCTAGTACTCTGTTGCCATAACACAATTCCAACGCCAGAAGGCCAGAGTAGGCCATGAAAAGCATGTTTTAATGAGTTGGGCTTCCTTTCTATCTGTCATTGGAGCCCAGAGAAAACAGGTATCAATTTGCCAATGTGAAAACAGTTTTCTCAGTAAATAAGAAGACTCTGGAGTTTAATCATCTTATTTCTGTTGATAATTTGTTTGTAATTATTTATGCTAGATCAATGAGAAAAATATACATGAAGACAGGAGCATGCAATCTCAAAGTAAAAAATGCAGGTTAAGAGTAAGAGCACAGCACTTTGTGTACGTGTTCGTTCAACTGGTGGACAAAGGCACAGAAAATAGGTGAAAATCTAAATCCTGTTTTGCAACCCAGAACTCATCGTTCAGTATGAGTTTTGATACATATAGGAATGACTATGAAAAAACACCTCAAAGTGATAATGTTGAGAGAGAAGATGTAGTAGGAATGGGTTCACCAAGGGCAGCTGGCTTTGGGGCCTGGGACCTGCCAACTCCCAAGAGGCTGAATGTGGGTGCTGGATCATGTGAGGAACTTTATCACATAAAATGAATATTCACTTGACCATAGGTGTCTCTATATTGATCTCAAAATTCTGAACTCAGGACTTGGCAAGTAAGAAAGAAAATAATCGAAGAGTCAAGATGGTGGTACAGTTGGAGTAATGGCAGTGATGGGGACGCTCAGCACAAGGACTTAAAACATGACTCCAGGATTCATTTTATTAAGAATCCTGATGCTTCTATAATGAATTCAAAACTCTAAACTCAGGACTTGGCAAGTAAGAAGGAAAATAACTGAATAGCCAATACGGTGGAGCTGTACTGGCCTGGCTGCCCATTAGCACCAGTGGGGCAAAGGTGAGCCAGCCTGCCATCAATGCACCCCAGTGGGGCAAAGGCAAGCCAGCCTGCCAATACATGCACCCCAGTGGCACCGATGATTGGCTGACCATCATCATCACCCAGTGACTGTCAAGACCTCAACAACATTAGGAATCTGAGGAGGCTATTGATTTTAGAAAATAAGCTAGAGGATGCTGGTTTAAGCTTTCATGTGAAGCTGCAAAACTTCCCAACGGTCACTCAGAAAATTTTGGATTGGAGGCCTGTGAGCTAATTGCTGCCTCCTGTGAGGACCTAGTTTCTGGATGTTACCCACAGTAAAAACCCTGTGGAGAATCAGTCTGTTGGAGCACACCATGATCCACAGTGAGGTCATTGTGTTGAGTGAGGTTGTAAACAGCCAAAGTGTAACCTGCACACAAGTCTGTGAACAACTAACTTTGATGAAGAAAACCAAGTGTTTCTGACTGACTGAGAAAAAGAGAAATCCATACTTGACATTCCCAAGTAGACTGTAAGAGAATTAGAAATTAAGAATAAAAATTCCATTCCAAGAAACTTGGTCATATTCTGATCCAAAACCACATATAAAGGAAAGGGAGTGGGCTTTTATTTGGCACACCTGTGGGTAAGAATTATAGATCACTGACACTCTAATGAAATATTTCTTTGGCACTCAACTCAGAGATGTTGTGTAAGATAAATGGGGTTTTCCATTTGCCAAGAGAAGACATGAAGTCAGGGGTTGGGGTTGAGGGGTGGTAAGGTGAGGGTGGAGATGAGGGAGGAGGTCTGAATATAATCGAAAATAATTATATGAAATCCTTGAATCAATAAAATTCTCCTTAAACTTAAAACAAAGAGAACCCAGAGGGAAATGTGATGCCCCCAAAATCCGATGAGAAATGTAAATACAGTGACTAAACATTAGTGCATATGTACACCTGAGAGCGGGTTGGCAAGGAACACAGTGCCAGCAGGAAAGACCTCTCTTTGAGTAGTTGATAAGAGTGATCCAGGAGACTCCCAAAGTAACACAGACTATTGCCAAACCTCTTGGTTATCTACTGCTGAAGACAGGACATGCTTCAGATATGGTACTTGGAGCAATGGAGAAGGAACTGACCTGGAAGCCTTCTACCTGAAGTTTAGTTATCATAATGCTAGATAATAATATGCAAACTGCTAAAGGAGAAAAACAATCAGTGGTCCAGCCCAGCCCTAAAACCTAACAACCATAATGACCAGCATGGCAAACTACCTCTATTGGTGCAGTAGTGGACTGTTAGGGGGGCGGAGGGGGGTCTAATCAACAGCTATCTAATTGAACTTAAAGCCCTCTCAATAGGAATGAACTCCTGGGTGGCACCATAAACACAGCCAAATACATATGGCTGGAGGGGTCATAGATTCTAGAGAAACCCTATCTCTTTCATATCACTAGACGAATGAAATGTCTTACCATAAGCTAAATATGAGTCCTTATATTTACAGACAAGCATGCCGTACACCACTCATCAAAGAAGCTTGTTTTTGCAACAGATGGAGGCTACTACAGAATTTCACAACTGGTCAGACACAGAGAATATATGTCTGAGTGATGCCTAGTACTAGGTGACACATCTACAGTTGAACCTCTATACTTAAGGATCATAGAACATAGTAGAACAGGGGGTGGAGAGAATACTAGTGCATCCCTCAACTCTCACCAGTAAATCTTCCTTGTACAACAGAGTGCAATGTACACAGAAGGTCACAACTGGCCAAGTTTTAAAGAATAAGAGACTACAGAGTCTGTATCCTTGGATAGAACTCCTATATTGAACATTACCCACCCACAGCTCAGGGGACATTACAGAGAAGGAGCAGAAAGATTATAAGAGCCAGTGTGGTTCATGAACAAGAAACAGAGGCTTTGGGGCCACTGAAAGCTTGCACAAACTTGTGGCAATGGTGGCACTGAGCACAGGACCCAAGCCAACTCTATAAATAAACAAGGGCCCAGAGGGGAGGAGAGAAATGGGTGGTGGGATGACCCTAGATTGAGAGCTATTGGAGACTGGTTGCTAACTGGGTGAGGGAGAGTACGTCTTACTTACGATCTCTAGATGGATTGACTAGTCTCCAGTGGATGGATTTATGCCAAAGGACATCTGGGTACAAATGATTAACTGGATAAGACTTAACATGTATGTATGGCAGAATACATGAAGTCCAGTGGGTGGACGAGGAGCATGGATAGGGAGGGGACCTAAATTTGATTAAGAACTGTTGTATGAAATTACAAAAACTCAATAAAAAAAATTTTTAAGAGGAGTCTAGAAAGATGGCTCAGTAGTTAAGAGTACTGGTTGCTCTTGCAAAGGACCCAGGTTCAACTCCCAGCACCCACATGACAGCTAACAACTGTCTGTAACTCCAGTTCCAGGGGATCTGATGCCCTCTTCTGACCTCCATGAACAGTGTACAACATGGGTGCACTTACATACATGCAGTCAGTATACATAAGATAATAAAAAATAATAAATAAAGAGTAAAGCTCAAAGAAGGAAAGTGCCAACAGGTGGTTCAGGCAAGGGCAGCATGTGAAGCCTTTGGTCAGAGATGTGGATTAGTGTTCCTGCACTTGGCCAATTGCTTTTCTAAGCAACCTGTCTTTTTCTAAAACTATTACGGAAAGTTGGCCCCAGACTAAAGAAAAATGCTGATTTCCCTTTTTAATTAAATTTTTAATTAAGAATATTTGTGTATATGTATGGGGCATAGTGTGATGTTTTGATATGTGTATTCATTGTAGAACTTTCAAAAATTAACATATTTATCACCTCACATAATTAATTTTTTTGTGGTGTGAACATTTAAAATGTGTCCTTGGTAGTTTTCAAATGTGCATTATTATTAACTAAAGCCACCATGACATGAAATTGACCTCTAAAACTTATTCCTCCGTCTAACTGGAACTTTGTACTCTGAAAAACAGCTCCCCACCTCCCATAGTCCCAGCTCCTGATAGTCAACGTTTATTCTTTGCTTCTATGAATTTCAAGTTTTGAAATTCAGGATGTAAGATCACAAAGGATTTGTGCTTTTATTCCAGGCTTATTTGTTTTGGAAAATTTCCTTCCAAGGTAATGCATGTTGTTTCTCTGAATATAATTTTCCTCTTTTTAAAGGTTGGATATAATCTATGTATTTTTAACCATATTTTTAAAAATTATTCATCCAGGCAGGTGGATCTTTGTGAGTTCGAGGCCATCCTGGTCTACATAGTGAGTTCCAGGACAGCTGGGGCTACAGGGAGACCCTGTCTCAAAAAGACAAAAAAAAATTATTCATCTATTAATGAATATTTAGGTTGGTTCTTTAACTTGGCTAATTATAAATAACACTTCTATGAACACAAGGGTTCACATTCCTTATCAAGAGCATGAGCCTATCTTCTTTAAAAATATATCTAATGTTGGAACTATGGGATCATATAGTAGCTCTATTGTTAATTTTTGAAGATCCTCTATGCTGCTTTTAATAATGACTAAACTAATTTTCATTATTTCCAACAGTATATAACTGTTCCCTTTTCTCCACATCTTCATCAGCACTTGTCATTCTTCACCTTTTTTATATTAGCCATCTTAATAGGTGTAAAGTGCTATCTTACTGTGTTTCCAATTTGCATTTACCTGGTTATTAATGATGTTGAGTACTTTTTCATATAAATTGTCATGATATTCTGTCAGAAACATAGATGAGCAGTTTGAGTCTTTTCAAAATGTCAGAATTTAATAACAATAAATTTACAAGTAGTGTTTTGAATGGAAACATTTTGTCCCATAACACTGCATACCTTTTAATCTGATTTGAATGCAGGCTTTTTTTAGTCAAACTTAATTAGTATTATTAACTCATATCACACAGAAACAGAGTTCAAGATGTTTCAGAAGTGGATTGAGAAATGCATACAGAATTTGTACTGTCAACAAACCCAAACAAGCCTCAGGGAAGAAGTTACTGCTGAGGCCATGGGATATTCATGGTTGAGAGCAAATATTAGTGTTGAGTCCAGCTGTGGGGTGAAAGGGCAGAACTGGGTTGGAGTAAGAAAGGCGGATCCAGGTCTAAACAAGCAAACAGGTGGATGGGTGGATAGCAATGGAATATGCCATGTCAATAGCAGGGATCAGAGCTTGCATGAAGTCCCTGGGACAGTTAAGAGTTCTCTGTCTGTCAGTCCTTGATACACACACATGGTATCAGATGACAGGTCAGGGGTGGGGCAGAGTGTTAGTTGTCCACTACTTATGGTCCAGGTGAGGGAGTTATATCCTGGTTTTGGTCTGGTGTGTCTGATAAGCTTTTGGGCCCAGTTTATCTGATACAGTTTTAATAAGCCCATGGGCCATTATAGGTTCATTTCACCCTGATAAATTTATAGGGTGGCACCCTCTCTACTCCCAGAAATAAGTTGTTTATCAGTCTGTGCTGCATTGGTGGCATTGGACAAATGCTGATTATGTGTGGGTTCACCATGGTGGGCAATCCTATAAATCTGAAAATG